CTAACAAAGCTACTGCTAGACTTGCATGTAGTTTGTTGGTCAGCAGACACGTGAAAAACGATATTGTTTTGTTGACCTGGGTCATTAGAATCAGAATAAAATAGAATTAAAATGATATCTGTGGTTTTCTCCCCCACGTGGCATCAGCATTGATATTTTCTAAATTGCTGCTATCTAAAGAGGAGTAAAACAGTCCACACAACTTAAACATGACATTAGTTACTATCTCTTTGAAATCTCATTATATGTTAATGGATTGAGTTGAAGGACAGATGAGAGTTACATGCATGACCTGAAAAATGGGAAAAGGGAAGAAGGAAGCTTAAAGTCTTTTAATTCACGAGCAAATTGGCTAAAATCTCTTTAATTTGATCACAATCTGACTTCGGGGGTAAATTTATACGAGATAATCTGGAGATAATGTTAATCCCTATTAAATTCGGTAATTATTAATACTAACAGATTCTAACCTGATGAAATCCTGGTTCCTTGGTGAGGGGAACTCCGAGCTCCGACATACATGCCTGAATCCGGTCATCTGATCCGTATAGAGCTGAGTGTCTCTGTATGCACCTGTCTTGCATTTTCGCCAGAGCTTTTGCTAACGGGTAACTTATGGCAAACCCGCCACCGCCGTAGGCCATGATGTACGAGAAATTGATGTTCTGTGTATGACTCTCCGACGAACTTCCGATGTAGTAGTATTGGGTGTGATCGTACTTTGACAGAACGCTGACTAAGTTATCAGGCACGAAGAATGTATCGTCGTCACCCATCACCAACCACCGCACGTGTTTGAATCCCAGCCGTAAAGTCTCCGACACAATCCTCGATATTCGGAGAGCAGAGCGGTGGCCGCCGGGGTACTCGTAGTTGAATTGGAAGGTGTTACTTGAGATTTTAATTGGAGGTAAAAGGTGATCATCGGAGCCGTTGGCGACGGGTTTGTCTAACCATACCGCGCCGCGCATCTGATTAGGCCTCCACCAGAGCTTGAGATACTGTTTTCTGTGGTTCCAGAGCTTGGACGAGGATGCAATGCCGAAGACTATGTAGCGGAGAGAGGTTTTTTCCGGAACTTTTTGGGGGGTTTGAGGGAGAACAGGGGCGGAGACCTTGGGGGAAAAGTACCCCAACAAGACGGAGCTGCGAAAGGTGTTGACGGCCGAGTACTTCTGGTCCGATGAATCTGAAGAATTCAAGAAGCTAACCCAGTAGACAACGTTCACAACACAAAACAGGGCAAGAGAACAGACAATTACCCTGTGGTAACTCCAAGGGAAAATTGGTGGATTTTTCATGCATCGATCCCACATCCAGTTGCTTTCTCGTTCATTCGGATTGTTTTTCATGATTCAGGATAAGAAATTAGCCCAAGTTGACGTTGATTCATGTGAAATCCAATCACAATTGGGTGCTGCAGCAGAATTCAGAGTGGCGGAATAGCCATGAGAAGAAGCCGGACTGCAAGAAGAAAGGCCTACTGCTTCAGAAAGAAACTCCTAAGGCTCTTTACATCGTAGTTATATGTTAACCCCAATTTTAGCGTACAATTGGAAAATTAATCCAATCAAAATTAATTAATTACTTGTAATGCATTTCAAAAGATATGTATATTCATGACTAGTTTTCTTGGTAAGGTAGGATTGGATTTGGATGTATCATCCACGGGGCAAAGAAATCACTAACCCTATGTCTAAGTTGAGGAGGTTGGAAAGGAAGAAAAGGAAATTATATCTTTTTTTTTCTTCTCTATTTCCTTTCCTTTTGTTCCTTTTCATTCAAATGAATAATTAAATTTGTTTAAAAAAAATTAAGTAAAAGAAAATTTCTCACGTCCTCCTTTTTAATTTTTTTGATAATGAAATAGAAAATTTTTTGTTACTCCTCTCCTTTTCATTTCTTTTAATCTAAATATACTGTAAATATTGGTATTTATAATTTGAGAGAAAATTTGTAAATAAGTATATCAATTTTATTTTTTTTATTTAATGATATTAATTTTGTTGATATATAAATAAAAATGTCAATTTTTAATTTTTTAATTTAAATATATCAATTTTTACCTTTTTTATTTAAATATATTAATTAAAAAGTTTATTTGTTACATCAACATTATTATCTAATTAATTTTTAAATTAAAAAAATTGATATTTTTAAATAAAAAATAAAAATTAACATTCTTATTTAGAAATTAAAAAAATTAACATTTTTAAATAAAAAAAAAAAAAGTAAAAATTTTAATTTAAAATTTTTTTCCAAATTGATTGTAAAAGGCAATTCAAAGGAAAGAAACGTCATCTTATTGTACTTTGCCTCTATTGGACATTTTTTATCAATAGAAATTATCATGAAAATTCATTAAGCTTTACAGAGATGGAGAAGAATCTTGATTGAGGGCACTTAAGTTGTTTGATTTGAACCCTTAATTTTTGAGGTTTTTTATTTTTTTTTTAAATTTTTAAACAATGATAAATGGGAATGACTAGTTGAACAAGTATAATTAACAAGTTAAGCAGTGATAATATTTTTTTTTAATAAAAACAAAAAGTTTTAAATTTAAAGTACATAATATATAAAGTGAAATGAATTGAAAAAAATAAAAGAAAATAACTTTTCATTCTACAATTCAATAAAAAAAATAGTTGAATAAGTATTGTAAAGTCTTAAACTTCTAATAAAGCCAAGATCAAAAAAAAAAAAAAAAAAAAAAAAAAAAAACTGCTTCAAATAAAGCCAAGTTGGTTATGCTCAAGACCCTTCATTATTCCAAAGCATTAAATCTTTGTCTTGTTGATGCTTTCATTGGTTGAAGTTAATGGATATCGATTAAGTATTTTTTTAATAAGAATTCAGTATTTTTATTAACAAATAATAATTTTAACAATATGTTATGTTTAGAAGGAAGAGAAACTTTTATATTAAAAGAAAAAAACTCTGTTTTATTATTTAAATTACACAAAACATAAATTATTAAACAAAATAAAGAAATTAATATTAAAAGTTTAATTCGTATTTAATGATTAATATTGTAAAATTTTATATACTGGATCGTATAACACTTTTCCTTTCCAAAATATACGTTTAATTTGGTAAAGAAAAAAATTACAAGTTTAATTATAAAAAGGGTAATGCTATAAAAATAATTTTTTTCTCATCTTTTTTATACAATTTTTACATATTATTTAAATGAGTGTATACATTTAATATCACGAATTTTACATGAATTAAAAAAATTAATTATTTTAATAATACATCAAGTTGTATAAGAAGATAAGACAAAAAATGTTATATAAAAATCATTTTTTTATAAAAATGATTTAAAAATAATTTTTATATTATTTTTATACAATTTTAAGTATTATATAAATGATTAATTTTTTTTTGAACATGCAAATGATTAATTTTTTATTTATATAAATGATTAATTTTTTATTTATTTAAATTTTATAATATTAAATATATATATATTTATTTAATATTACCAAAAAGTTATATAAAAAAATAGTTGTCGTATACGATCAACTCCGAACCGCTCGATGTGCATACCAGTCCAGTCAACAATATCAAACCATTTGCAGCCATCGGAGGCCATACCCTTGAAAGGAACCCGTTTTGACAAAGCAACTGAAGAGGGAGGGGACCCTGGAGGGTCTTCTCCAACGCTGAAAAAATTTGCGCACCTCCAAATTCCAAAATTGCAGGTGAGTGAGAACTACGAAACTTTTCAATTTCTCAAAATTAGGTCGATTCGTTGCCTAGAAAATCAGTTCAAAGTTTGTGTAATTTTCCTTTGTAATTTAAGCTTCAATCGAGCATCCTGGCATTTTGGGTTGATTCATTCATAATCTGAAACTAATTGAGTAGAAAACCTAGAATTTAGTTTCCCGCACCTTCTTTCAATTATTTTTACCTTTTATTTTCTCAGCAACCAAGCAGAGATTTAGGTTCGTGCATACTTTCCCCTCGTCAATGTTATATGTTTGGTTAATTTTGTTCAATTTGTCGAAGGTTTCTTGTCCTCATGAAACACAACAGCTTCTTACATCGCATATTGCTTTTTGCAGATTGAACTTATAATGTCTGGATTCAAGATTTCGAAGCTGAGATCACTCTCAGCTTCCTTATACTCCTGCCCTAAGTTACAGTCATTTCAATTCTACAGTTCATATGCACCACTAATGAGATCTTCGGCTCGGGATCATTTTAGACCATCATGTGCTAGTATAGATCATGGTTACCATGAAAGAGAACCGCGGTTTGCTGCAAATTTTATTAATACTCGTGATATTCATTTCCAACATTATACTAGGAATCTTATCAGTGGATTTTCTCCTTCAACATCAAATTCGCATTTTCAGAATAGTATCCCTTTTGTTTCTGTGAGCCCAATGTTGAGACATAAATCATATTCATTATCTTTTAGTAGCAAAGCTGATAAATCAAGTGACTCTGCGGTTTCAGCTGTTTCTGGTTCAAGTCAAGTGGATGTTAGTAATAGTAGTGTTGTTGGAAGTGATTTGGTTGATAAGATCAAGGATGTGTGGCATAGTGCAGTGGATGCAATAACCCATACTGGGCAAAAGGCTAAAGCGGTTTCTGATGGAGTGACTCCTTATGTGCAACCGTTGCTTGATTCCCATCCATCTCTTAAAATTGTGGTCATTCCAGTGGGTTATACATTGATTGGTACTATATTGGCTTGGGTGGTTATGCCTAGGATTTTGAGAAGATTTCACAATTATGCTATGCAAACTCCTGCTGCTGTGCTCTCTGGGATTCAAATTCCATATGAGAAAAGCTTTTGGGGTGCTTTAGAGGATCCAGTTCGATATCTATTTACATTCATGGCGTTTTCACAAATGTAAGTGGTTCTAATTTTTCTCATTTGTCTCTTTTTTTTTTTCATACTTTGATTTGAATAGTGGTGTTTTGTTTCTCATGTGATGAGTGGATAGTTCCTTTGACTTGCAGAGCCAGTATGGTGGCACCAACTACCATAGCATCCCAATACATTGCACAGGCATGGAGCGGTGCAGTTATCCTTCAACTTGTCTGGTTTCTGCACCGTTGGAAAACAAATGTGTTTGATCGTGCATTGACCTCTCAAAGTTTAGAAGCAATTGATCGGGAGAAGTTGTCAACTCTAGACAAAGTTTCATCCGTTGGTCTATTTACCGTGGGGTTAATGGCTTTAGCTGAGGCATGTGGGGTAGCTGTGCAATCTATTCTGACAGTTGGTGGCATAGGAGGTGGGTGTTGCATCTGATTCCATATTCTCTCTTTTGCTTCTGTTCATTTTTGTTGCTACGATCTTATTGTAAACAAGATTTAAATAGAATCTTTATAAGTTACACCTCATTGATGTAAATTGTGTTCCTATAATTGCTTACTAATTAAAGTAGTGTCTTCTTGCATGTATTGCTGGTTCCTCTATCATATAAGAAATGCCTCTTCAATACCATTCTCTCTTACAACTTCCATTCTGGTGTATTTTGTAGAAATGTCTTCAATTATATTGAGGTGGATGACCTTCAACTATATTGTTGAAGATCATCGGCCTCAATATAATTGCTTGATTCTCTCTCACAACTTCCATTCTGTTGTTGCTTTCTCTTCCATCATGCAGGAGTGGCTACTGCCTTTGCTGCTAGGGACATCCTTGGAAATTTGTTCAGTGGTTTGTCAATGCAGTTCTCTAAACCATTTTCAGTGGGAGATACAATAAAAGTAAGTTGGTGGGAAAAAGCTTTCTCTAGATGAGATTTTGCACTCATTTATTCCTTTTACTATTATTATTGCTAACTCTCTGTTTTCTGTTTTTGATAAACCGTCATCACTGTCTATTATTTAGCCATTTTGACTAATTTTTTGATTATTTTGTGTACATTAAATTGCTTATGTAGAAAGCCAACTGCATGTTATTTAAAAAGTAAATAGAAATAAATTGGTGGGGTTAGTTCTAGGTGTTTCAACCTTAGCAAAGCTATTGGGTCTTTAATTCATGGTACCGGTGGTCCATACAAGTAGATGTTCTGAACACTCAATCAGATGTCACTAAGGTTAGGCTTGCCTATTCATTTTCTTTCTTTTCATCATGACTTACTCACAACTTTCTCTCACCATAGGCTGGATCTGTAGAAGGTCAAGTGGTGGAAATGGGCCTTATCACCACAAGGTTACTGAATGCTGAGAAATTTCCAGTTTTGGTTCCAAACTCACTCTTCTCCAGTCAGGTTGTTATTTTCATCTCCTCTACAACTTACCATGTGCATTGAGAGTATGCTTATTCACACCTTGGGACTATTCATGTTCAAACCATCTACCTCACTGATATTTTGGCTTTGGTCAAACTATTAGCTGCTTGGGGACATAGGCTCTTGTATACATCTTAACAGTTGCATATTAGGCACTTCCACTGGCCCTCAACCTTGATATCTCCTGTCATGTAAATTTTAGGTCATTGTGAACAAGTCGCGTGCTCAATGGCGTGCAATGGTCACTAAAATTCCCATTCATACTGAAGATCTGGACATCATTCCCCAGATATCAAATGATATTAAGTTCATGCTGGGATCAAACCCAAAAGTTTTCTTGGAAAAGGAGGCTCCTTACTGTTTCCTGTCTCGTATAGAAAGCTCTTACGCAGAGTTGACTATTGGCTACAACCTGAGACATATGGTAAGCTCCCACACTCAATGTCAAACTGTCAATTTTATGTCCTGGACTCACTAGTTCAAAAGGATCTAACTATTCTCGATACGGTTAAAGTTTGTTCGGAATGCCAAATATTTTGGGGCATCTTTTTTAAGATTCATATTTTCGAACTTGTGCTCTGTTTGTCTTTCAAAATGATATTTGCCTTATTCTCATTTCTGATTTATAGAGCAAAGATGCGTTATACTCCACACAGCAAGATCTTCTTCTGCAATCTGTTCAGATTATAAAAAACCACGGTGCTAAATTGGGCTACACGTTCCAAGATAGAAACAATGAGTGATGCACATCTCATCTCACATTGGGATACAAAATTCCAAAATGTGACCGGTAAGTCACGTGGCAGAAAGAATGGAATCCTTTGAACGAAGGTTGATCTGTCTCTCTCTTCCTTGTTATAGTATTCCTTGAAAACCAATATACATCAAACATAATCCCAAAAACAGCCTGTGGATCAGAAAAGACTAGGTTTGTCTGCTTTTCTCTTGATAAGAGGTGTCTATTTACATGAATTTTGAAGAAATGGGCAATCCGGTGAAGGAACCAGCCAAGCTGATTGAATACTCTGAAACTGTTACTTGCAGTTTGAACGAGGCTTCTCCTCATCTTATTTTTGCCCCCTTCTCCTGTAACTTTCATACTGTTTCCTTTTATAATACGGAAGTGCATGGGCAAGGTGATGACTACCAAAATTGTCAAATGTAATCTTTAAAAATTTTGATTTTATTT